ATCCAAAATGCTATTATTGCAAAGCTGTGGATCACTACATTCACGCGTGCAGTTCGTTTGTGGCCGCAACGGTTGCTACACGATTCAAATTCGCTAAAACATTCCCATTGTGCATAAACTGCCTCAGGAAAGGGCATTCCGTTCTTACGTGTCAATCCTCTAAGTGCCGCGTGTGTTCGAAGCCACATCATTCACTGCTTCATAGATACAGCTCCGATTCTTCACCATCAGAGCTAGCTTCCACTCAAGAGCCGTTGGTGACACAACCTTTGACCACCTCTGCCGTCCACCACGCGATGACAGCCGACTCAAATCAAATTGTATTAGCTACAGCCCTTGTTAACATTACAGGTAGCAATGGTCAAATGCACACTGCTCGTGTGCTTTTAGATTCTGGGTCACAGGTAAACTTTATAACAGAGGAGTTATCCAAAATTCTAAAACTTAAGCGCGATCGAAAAGACACAAACCTTCTTGGAATAGGTCAATCAGCTGTATCAGCTCGCCATGTAGTTCAAGCAACTATACACTCCCGAACACAGGCATTTCAATTGGAAGCTGAACTTATTGTTCTGAAGTCAATATCATCGTCCCAACCAGAGAGGGCAGTTCAAGTGTTAGACTGGAACCTCCCTGACAACATAAAGTTAGCTGATCCACTGCTCCACGAACCTCAGAGAATTGACATATTGCTTGGTGCTGACGCATTTTTCGAGTTGTTAAAGGAAGGAAAATTCAAGCAGGAAACATATGGTCCAGTCCTACAAAATTCCGTTTTTGGATGGATCGTATCAGGTCGGTGCAAGTCATCAAAAACAAATTTCAAACAGGCTACCTCAATGTTGAGCACGGTTCAAGATCATTGCAGTGTAGACATGTTGATTCGAAAATTCTGGGAAATAGAAAGTCTCCCGAGCATTGCACAGAATAAACTTTACACGCCGGAGCAAATTATGTGCGAAAAGGCATTCATCGAGAGTATTGTTCGGTTACCCTCCGGTCGACTTCAAGTTTCATTGCCATTTAAGTCCAGCCCTACTTGTCTCGGCTCGTCGTTTGAAATCGCAAAAAGGCGGTTCTTAGCACTAGAAAGGAGGATGTCCAATAACCCAGAAATAAATTCCATGTACGTTGCTTTTATGAAGGAGTACATTTCCTTAGGGCACATGACGTTGGTCAATAATGAAATTCCTACTGAGCCTCATTTCTTCATTCCTTATCAATGTGTGCTCAGGCCGCAAAGTTCAAGCACTAAACTTCGAGTGGTTTTAGATGCATCGAGTAAGACAAGCTCTCAAGTGTCATTGAACGAATTGCTGATGATCGGACCAACTATACAGCCGTGTCTATACGCGACATTGCTATGGTTTCGTTTTCGCAAATACGCTATTACAGCAGATATCGTCAAAATGTATAGACAAGTCGAAATAACTGAATCCCATCGTAATTTTCAACTAATAGTATGGAGACAGTGTAAGGATGAAAAATTACAAGTCTATCGTTTGAATACCATTACATACGGCACGGCCTGCGCACCGTTCTTAGCTATCCGCTGCCTCAAGTATCTTAGTGAGATATATTCAGTTTCCCACCCTCTAGGATCCTTAGTCTTATCGAATAGCTTCTATGTTGACGATCTTTTGTCAGGCGCGGATACAATCGAAGAACTTACGTCGATGCGAAACGAAGTAGTTGAAATCTTAGGCTCGGCCGGGCTTGTTCTTTCGAAGTGGGCAACCAACTGTGAGCAGTTAATAGATCTTAATCAGTCTACAGATGTATCTGTCGGGGAGCACGAAGATACAAAGGCGTTAGGCCTCGTTTGGAACCCAAAACATGACATCTTTAAGTTTTCTTCATGAGATATGTGTACAAGCCATGCGCCAACAAAAAGATCTATGTTGTCCCTTACTGCTCGCCTATATGATCCTCTCGGGCTTATCTGTCCTGTGGTCACAAAGGCCAAAATTCTCATCCAACAGATTTGGCTGCTCAAGATAGAGTGGGATGATCCAATTCCTGAAAGCCTTCAGCAGAAATGGCAATCGATCACAATTGGTTTGGAAGAGTTGGATATATTGACAATTCCAAGGCATGTCGGTACGACAAAAAATACCGTATGTCAAATACATGGCTTTGCGGATGCCTCAACTGAGGCATACGGATGTTGCCTGTACATCCGTGTCGAACATCCACATGGTGTGGAAGTTAAATTGCTTACTGCAAAATCAAGAGTGGCCCCTCTGAAAACAAAGTCGGTACCACGACTGGAGCTTTGCGCGGCGCACTTGCTAGCCAACTTGTGGGAAGAAGTTCGTCCATTGATCGACTCTCCAGTTGAACGAGTTGTAATGTGGTCCGATTCAGAAATCGTCTTGTATTGGCTGCAAACACATCCTTCAAAACTAAAAACCTTTGTTGCCAACCGCGTCAGTGAGATTCAAGAGATGACCTCATCGGCTAGTTGGCGCCATGTACCCACTGACAGCAATCCAGCAGACTTTCCATCTCGGGGTTGTACAGTTAATGAATTAAAAAATTCATTTTGGTTTGATGGTCCCCACTTCTTGACTCAAGATCAAAGGCGTTGGCCTCAAAATATATAGATATATTCAGTTTCCCACCCTCTAGGATCCTTAGTCTTATCGAATAGCTTCTATGTTGACGATCTTTTGTCAGGCGCGGATACAATCGAAGAACTTACGTCGATGCGAAACGAAGTAGTTGAAATCTTAGGCTCGGCCGGGCTTGTTCTTTCGAAGTGGGCAACCAACTGTGAGCAGTTAATAGATCTTAATCAGTCTACAGATGTATCTGTCGGGGAGCACGAAGATACAAAGGCGTTAGGCCTCGTTTGGAACCCAAAACATGACATCTTTAAGTTTTCTTCGCGAGATATGTGTACAAGCCATGCGCCAACAAAAAGATCTATGTTGTCCCTTACTGCTCGCCTATATGATCCTCTCGGGCTTATCTGTCCTGTGGTCACAAAGGCCAAAATTCTCATCCAACAGATTTGGCTGCTCAAGATAGAGTGGGATGATCCAATTCCTGAAAGCCTTCAGCAGAAATGGCAATCGATCACAATTGGTTTGGAAGAGTTGGATATATTGACAATTCCAAGGCATGTCGGTACGACAAAAAATACCGTATGTCAAATACATGGCTTTGCGGATGCCTCAACTGAGGCATACGGATGTTGCCTGTACATCCGTGTCGAACATCCACATGGTGTGGAAGTTAAATTGCTTACTGCAAAATCAAGAGTGGCCCCTCTGAAAACAAAGTCGGTACCACGACTGGAGCTTTGCGCGGCGCACTTGCTAGCCAACTTGTGGGAAGAAGTTCGTCCATTGATCGACTCTCCAGTTGAACGAGTTGTAATGTGGTCCGATTCAGAAATCGTCTTGTATTGGCTGCAAACACATCCTTCAAAACTAAAAACCTTTGTTGCCAACCGCGTCAGTGAGATTCAAGAGATGACCTCATCGGCTAGTTGGCGCCATGTACCCACTGACAGCAATCCAGCAGACTTTCCATCTCGGGGTTGTACAGTTAATGAATTAAAAAATTCATTTTGGTTTGATGGTCCCCACTTCTTGACTCAAGATCAAAGGCGTTGGCCTCAAAATACAAAAATTCAGCAAATCAACACTAACGAAGAGTTAGAGATTCGGAATATAACTACTAGCCACGTTGCAACACAACTCGAGCCGAATCCGATAGAAAAAATTGTCGAAAATTCATCTTCATTTCTTAAAGTAATGCGCATTGTTGCGTACTTCCTACGATTTGTTAACGCATCAAAATCTCGCTCGTGGTCTTCGCTAAATCCTACCTCGGTTGAGCTCGGCTCGGCCTTCTTACTTGTTGTAAGCGTCATCCAGCAAAATGCATATAAAAGTGAACTCATAAAATTACAAAAATCAGTTAAATTGCCAGACTCACTTCAAAAATTAAGTCCATTCGTTGTGACGGAATCAATCGGAAAGCTCGAGGTGTCTTTGTTGCGAGTAGGAGGTCGATTGTTCAATGCACAGTTAAGCTACAGCGTAAAGTTTCCGCTTCTTATGCCAAAGGGCAACAGATTCGTGAGTTTATACATTCAACATCTGCATAGAACAAACTGTCATGCAGGACCCAGAGCATTGGTTGGTCTTATTCGCCAAACAATGTGGCTCATAAATGCTAGGCGCGAATGTAGCGCGGTCGTACGACAATGTGTACATTGCTTTCGATACAAGCCAAAATTAGCTTCACAAATAATGGGTAACTTACCAGCCGACCGTTTGATAGGAACAAGGCCGTTTGCAATTAGTGGAGTTGACTTATTTGGGCCGATTCGAGTATCGCTAGGAATTCGTGGCAAGCCTCCAATCAAGATGTATGTATCGATATTCATTTGCTTCCTGTCAAAAGCCGTTCATCTTGAACTTGTAAAAGATCTCACCGCTAATACATTCATTATGTGCTTATCTAGATTTGTCGGAAGACGTGGACCCATCGAAAAATTGTATTGCGATAACGCCACGAATTTCTCGGGCTCGTCTCGCATCATACATGACCTAATGAGCAAATTGGAAACCCATAAACACGCAATGACAGCATTCGGAGCACCTCGCCGATTCGAATTTATCTTCATCCCTCCCAGAGCCCCACATTTTGGAGGGCTTTGGGAGGCGGCCGTTAAATCGGCTAAACACTTGTTTCTCCGAGCTGTGGGTAACGCGTTACTAAAGGAAGACGAGCTCCAGACGGTGATCGTAGAAGTTGAAGCAGTGCTGAATTCGCGGCCGATTATCGCGGACGGCTCAAGCCCAAACGATGGTGAAGCTATAACCCCTGGGCACCTCCTCGTCGGGACCAGTTTGGCGACCTTGCCTCCAGCATCCGCTCAGGCAAATGTGGAACCGAATTTATCGTTTCTTCAGCGCTGGCATTTGGTGTCTGCGATAAAACAACGCTTTTGGAAGGATTGGTCACGAGACTACTTGTTGAGCTTACAACAACGCGTGAAATGGAATAAGGAGTCGCCAAATGTAACTGCTGGAACCGTTGTCGCAATTCAGGGGGACAATCTGCCACCTCAGACATGGCTTCTGGGCATCATCACTGAAACGATTACAGGTGCTGATGGAAGGGTCCGAGTGGCCATCGTAAAAACTAAAAATGGAATCTACAAACGTGCTATCCATAGACTAGCACCATTACCTATCAATTGAAGCCCTTCGGCCATTCAACGCGGCCGATGTTTAGTCGTAACTTGTTTAAAAATAATAGGTAAGGGAAATACGTAGAACTCGCAACTTGGGCTACTTAGCTATGAGACGGGGCATAGCAAGCTACGAGCAAATAAAATAACCCCCAACGAGCACGAGCTGCAAGATCTCTACGTGTGTTCCTTACTCCCATACTTAGGAGAAATATTTGAATTGTACCGCCTAAAAATGTTATCACTCTGTTAAGTAGTAAGTAGTACTCGCTCTTGTTACTCGCTGCGTCGCAGTTTCGAAGAAAAGAATAGAAGGAGCAGATAGGAAAGAGTAATAAAAAAAACTTGGATTGAATTCGGTTGATGCGTTGTTACTGGGACCATAGTTGCTGGCCTGAAACAGGCATTTTCGCAGTTTGCCAATTTGGAGCAAACAAGAAGTACTGGCAAAAGAATCTTTCCAATCATCTATATATGGTTGTGATTTTTCAAAATGTAAAATGAAATGAAATGTTTAATGAAAACGGGGATACCGATTGATGCAAAACAGCTTTGTTTCTCTTTTTATTTTGGTATGCACATAATTCTTGTTGAGTTTTAATCCATTTATCATAATCACTAACTTTTTTATTGTGAAAAGTTGGCAAAAATTTTAAATTTACAAGATCATTTTCTCGATCATTTACTAAAAGTTTATGGTATGCATTTGGATTCATTAATATTACTTTGTTTAGCTGATGCTTACTTTTAATCATGATTCAAAATTTTTCCAAAAATCCCAGAGAGCAATGAACTTATTAAAATTGGTAAAAATCCTCCTTTTTGAATAAGAACTCTTCTCTTAGAATTTAAAGATTGTTTTGGGCTGGAAATATGTCGTAATACATTTTTATACTTTTTTAATGAATTCTAGATATTTTTTAATATTTTATGGTTTCCTTTTAAAGTATTTATCACTATCTCCGACAATTTTTTTTACTAAGTCGCTATCACTATTGCAAATAATCGCTTTTCGAAGTTTATGTAACGTTGGCGTTAGATCGGTGTAGGTGTCATCCCCGGGAAGGGGGGAAATGGCAACCGATCTGAGTACCTTTTGCCGTAGTAGGACCATAGCAAGGCGTAAGGCGTTGCCGGAGTCTGGGGTCTGGCTAACGGATTGAATCGGTTATTGGAAGCTGAAGCTAGACGTAGAAATCCTCGCGGGTACAGCACTTTCTTTTTCGTTTCTGGCGTGACCCAAGGAAGTTCATCCAATTAAAGAAGCAGAAAGATTTACGTGGGAAGCGCACAAGCAAGGTGGAGAACAAGCCCATTCGGAAATCACCAGGTTTCAGCGAAAGGGAACAACAGCAAAACCGAAGCGCAGCTTGTTGGCAGACGCGCCAAAGGGTCGGCGCTAAAGTGAGGCAGGTCACGGATAGTGGCGGTGAGTGTGTTAGGTTAGGTCAGGGTCGATCGGGTCTGATATATAATTTTGGCTTTTTAGAACGGAGGGCCTGGTACAAGAAGTACGGGGCGGTCGTAAGGAGAGACGTTGGAGTCGTGCGAGGTTCCCAGTAGAGCAGTCGACGGCGAAAATCGAGATGTGCGCGGCGCGAAACCGCCGACGAGGCGTGGCCGCGAGATAATAGGGTTCCTACCGGAGAGCACGGTCGGAGCAGTCGCCGGAGGAGCTAGAGCTGGTTGTGGTCCGAGGCGAGCAAGCTCGGGAGCTAGGCTCGGAGCGTTTGCGGCGCTTTTAAGGAACGCTCCGCCGCAGAAAAGGGGAGCGAAATCAGTCCAACTGGTGGCCTTGTGGTGCCACGAAGAAACGTGTGAAGTTGGTGAGCGGAGGGTTCCGTTCCGAATACAGGCTTCGTTTGGCTAGCTGAGTGAATATTTTGTTGTGTGAACGGGTTAGCGAAAGCTTTCCCGAAATATTATCCCTTTCCAGCTTCGAGCACGTGGAAGCGCTTCAACCAGCTCGTCGCGGATGAAAGGGGTGAGTGAGTACTAGTAGTTTTATATAAAGCCAATAGAAGCGACACGGAACATTCCGGTCGTTAATCTACCGCATCGTCCGGTTCCCGGCCGAAGGGGGTCCACCAAGTGAACTATTGCCTTTACCTAGAAACCGCGAGCGATCCGATAGAGCAAAAGCCCAAGCCTGAAATGAAATAAGGGCATCGCCGAACCGTGCTTAATGCTAGCTCGCGGAAAAAGTCGGTCGAGTTCATTATAGAAAAACGCGCAGACACGCAGCGATACCGCGTACGCCAGGCGCAGTCAGCCTTTCACCACGGAGCGGTGTAAAAGAGTTTAGGGTGTAATTTTTATATTATTATTTGGAGAGCAAAGAAAGAGATACATGAAATGAAATATTATTCGTTAATTCCCTAATTTAAGCTTACTTTAAGATTTATTACATTGGAATTCATTGCGCCCGAGTTATGTGTAGAGGAGGTTATCGGTATGGTCCAGTGTCCCTCTCGGAATTATTCCAGTGATATCTTCGGATTTGCTTGGTATTTTTATTCCCAAAAAAATGATTCCAACTAGTCTTCTTGGTTCTTTAAACTGAACTGCCTCGTTTATTCTGTACCTGACAATTATATATGTTTCTTAGTTGACTAAGAATGCAGCATAAGCATTCTGTACATTTGTATATATGAAGTTATGTGAGATGCCGGCCGGATGTGTGTTCAGCACTTCGGACTGCAATTGAATTCGTTCCAAATAGTCGTGGGGGCTTCTGCGGAGAGGGGGCTGACGTTAGCTGGTATGAGGAGTGGTTGACCGGTGGGTGACCGGTAACTAGGTGGGTGACCGATGGGTAATCGGTAACTCCTCCCCCCCCCAGAACGGAGCGACGGCCACAGAGACGGGATGGGCGGCGTGACGTCGAGCGGCTGGTCCATGTGGTATGGGAACATGATGATCTTTCGGCGTCTTTGTATCCAGAGGATGATGGTCAGAGTGAGGATAACGCCCAAACCACTGTAGAGGGCTGTTGTATGGTAGCTCTGCGATATTTCGACTTGGGACATCTGTTTATGTAGGTTGATAGTCTTAAGATGTAAATTTTTTAAAGTTATAATTTGAGCCGTGTGGTTGGTTGTTATATTCATTATTGGTGGTAATAGCATGTTCAAGTGTTCCGTCATGACCTCTTCGGTGCTGTCATATATTATCTTATTTATCTCCACTGTACAGTTGGAGTGGGTGATGATTGCAGAACCATTAACTCTTGTCTTCGCCGCAGCTAGATCTTACTGTAGTATTGACGACGTTGAACATGAATACATAGCCTTCCTCTGGTTCGAAAATGTCCGCCATCCCATCGAAGTCTTGAGTGGCGCAAAGCGGGGTGCCTCCTTATTCAAGAGATGATTCAGGCAGTCTGATGTCGCTGAGCCAACGTACCCTCCTCGTGCTTTTTTTGCATTATAGGTTGCTGTCTATTTCCGGGCATCTTTTGTCAAATTCTAAGGTTACATTTTTGCGGTGTGACACGAATTTGGGTGTGGTCACGAACAGGGTCTTATTCATAGGTAGGGGTATTAATTTATAAAATGTATAAGTATTTTCTTCGAAAATAGGTGTCTTTATGTTAAACATAATATTGTTTTTGTAAATTACGGTGTTAAGTTCCATAAGGGAATATATGTGTTCGTCCAAAGCTATTTTATATATTTTGGTTTGTGAAAATGTTCCTAATTCTGTTTAATTCCTGTTTGTTGAAAATAAATTTAGGTATAATATTTATTCTTGCAAATACTAAGCTCTCTGCTATATTTTCTGCTAACTTTTCAAGTGTTTCTATATTGAATGGTAACTTATTTAGGTACTGTAGTACTCGTAAGTTATTTGTTTCTGAGTCTAAATCATTAAAAATGGTGTTTTGTGCTTTGCTGAAGAAATCTTTAATAGTAGTCCGTTCCTCATTTATGTGTTTAGTTATTTTGGAAAAGCGTAGTAGGACTTCATGATTAAAGTGATCCTGTGTTTTATCCTTTTCTTTTTGTCTTTTCTCGTTACTCTTTAGGTTTTCTAGTTGTTTAAAGATTTCTTCCGCATCGGCGCTATCCATGTTCCCTGTTATTGTTTTAATTAATGACCCTAACCCATTTATAATGCCTCTTTTTTGTTTGTTATGTGGCGTGAGATTATAGACTTTCTCTTCTAGGTTTGCTAATTTGGATTTTAATATACTGAGGGATGGGTAAAGGATGGGGTCAACTTGTAGGTTCTGTATGGTCTTACTTAATTGTTCGGTACATTCTATATAATTATCGATGTCTACCACATGTGTTATCGACTTATAATTTTGGGTTATATATGCATCTCCCAAGTTTATGGCGGCGATGGGCTGAGATTCATTGATCTCTTGGACTTTGTAGTAGGAGGCATCTACGTATAGTACCCTGAGGAGGAAAAAATTGATTGGTAGGAGTAGGGTAGGATGTCGTTTTGGTGATTAGTGTGGGGTGAGTAGTTTATTGTGTGGTTGGGGTATTCCTGGTTTCTATTTGTTTTTTCACTAATTTCCGTATTTTAGATTTGTGTAATTTCTGTCCTTTGGTAGTCGTCAGAGTTATGTGGTTGTTATTTGCGACGCGGTGCTTCGTAAATCTAGGAGTAATCTTGTTGCGTCTATTCTCTTTCCTAAAGATTGTGTCGTTTATTTCTGTTGTTTGCGGCTCTTCCCTGTCTGTGTTAGCTTTTGCTATTCTTTTCTGTGCTGTCTCTGATAGAAGAGTTCTAATTTTTAATGATTCGTTAAAATATATATACAGAAAACATTTTACTACTAACACTTAATATTATTCCTAAATAAATTAAAAATGTATGCTGAAATAATAAAAAATAGAATATAAAAAATAATATAATTTCTTTCGTCATTTCATCAAATAACTAATACCCGAATTTTGTTAGGGTAGCAAGCCTGAAAAGTAAGAAAAATCAAAATTTTGTGCGTTGGCTTCGAAACGAAATCGCACGCACACGTACACCCATGTATGTGAATGTGTGACACGCATACATACGAAGATCAACCGAAGCGCAGGCCAACCTTCTTCATCGCGCTCCGTTTAGAGACTGAGAAACAGAAAACATTTAATGAGAGAATGAGCGTAAGATGAACGAACGATGAGCGTAAGAGAGCGTAAGAAATCCGCTCTGGGGCCTGCTGGGGCCTGTCGCAAGAAATTTTTGCGTCCATTTTCGTTGTATGAAATGGGTTGTCTATATGCTGAATGGTTAGTGGTCTGACCCAGTACGTCTCTTCGGATCCAGCCTTTCTCCCGCCTTTTCCGTATTAAAGTCGGGTAGGATCTCCCTTGCCCACTTAATAATCTCGGCCTGGTCCGGGTTGGCTTCTGCCGATGGGTTCGCCCTCATCAGAATGAAGGCTGCTCTTATTCTATGCTTGTAGGAGCCTTTACGCTGCTTCGAGTGAGGCGCTTCCGGACCAGGGTTCACCTTAGGGGCACCGCCGGTTGGTTTAGAGGTTGACCCTGGGGTCTTCCTCTCCACACCGTTCGGTGGTCCCATAGCTAGCCCCGCTTTGGAAGAAGTTGCCTTGGCAACCTCCCACCTCCGCACCGGCGCGTCCCGCCTCCAGATGTTGCCCCTTTGTGGGGGGCTTTTCCATCTCAGCAACTCCTTGGCTTTTGAGGGCCTTGGAGTTTGACCGGCCATTGACCCCATTTCTGGTCTTTTTTAGGGAGTTCCGCTCTCCACTTTGGCTTTTGTTTGTTTTGGGGTATAGGTTTTGCTGGTACTCATTGAGTTTTTGTAAATAATCGTGGTTGTTATTATATGTTACTTTCTTGTCGAATATGTGAGTTCGGCCCGAGAATAACTCGAAGGGTGTAAGGTATGTAGTGAATGGCATTGTTATGAATGAATGAATGGCATTGTTATACGTTAGTATTGTTTCTGCCATTATATCATTATGTTCTACATTTATCTTTTGTTCCTTCTTTGTTGTTAGTATTATTCTGTATATCTCCGTGATAGTCGAGTGTAGCCTTTCCACTGGGGAATTGCTACTGGACTGTTGAAAGGAGGTAACATGTGAGATGACATTATATTGGTTCAGGAAATCTTGGAATATTACTCCCGCAAATTCAGTGCCTTGGTCATATATAATTTTGTTTGGAATGCCGAACTGACTGAAGAATGTTTTCAACGCTGTGATGGCGTTGATGGAATTCCTATTTGTCAGAACGTATGCCTGTGCAAACTTTGAGAACTTGTCGATAATCGTGAGATGAAGGTTGTGGTTTATTGTATATATGTCTATATGTAGTATGTCTAGAGGCTTGGAAGGTGCCTCCGATACTTGTAAGTTTATCTTGGGTGGGGATCTATTGTATTTCAAAGTCAGGCATGTGTCGCATTCTCGGATAATTTGTGCGATCTTAGCCTTTAACTGGGGAAAGTATATCTGTCTTTTCAAATGGGCGAATGCTTCTTCGATGCCCCTGTGATTATTCTTCGTGTGGTACGAAGTTATCCTGAGGGTTTGTTCGTTTTGATCGTGAACATCCTCCAGAAACTCGTCTGTAGTGAGGATAGCGTAAGTCTTGTTTGGTTTCAATATTGAGGCGAGTATGTTATTGACGGTGTCTAAATCGAATTTAGGTTCCGTAATAATCCTCCTAATTTTGTTCGGGAACGGGGTTGTTAGAGTTATATGGGCTTGAGGCCCGGTTTCGAAGATGGTTTGTGTGCTGAATGCATTCAGGGGTTGAGTTGTTGTAGGGATTGTGGCAGTGGCCTCATTTAAATGTAGTTCTGGTTCTATCCTACTTAAAGCGTCTGCTACGACGTTTAGGGAACCTTTGGTATATGTGAGTTCGTACTCATACGTGTCTAGTATGTTCTTCCAGTGTAGGAGTCTGTTGTTTTAGTGGTTTATGGTCCGTAACAATTAGGAATTTTTTTTCCATATAGGTAGGGTCTAAAGTAACCGACAGCCCATACGATGGCAAGCATCTCTTTTTCTATCGTGGAGTACCTCGTTTCGGTGTCGGACAGCGTTCTACTAGCATAAGCTACTGGTTTGTCGCTGTTATCCGGTCCTTGTGAGAGGACTGCGCCGATAGCGAAATTGCTAGCGTCTGTTGTTAATTTAAAGGTTTTTTCAAAGTCGGGGTATTGTAGAATTGGTTGGTTACAGAGTAAGGTTTTGCACATTTCAAATGTTTTTACAAATTCCTCGTCTATCACTACCGACTTATTACCCTTTAATTGTTTTGTTATAGGTTTGGTCAGTTTTGCAAAATCTTTAATAAATTTCCTATAGTAACCAAGGAGACCAAGGAAAGATTTAATCTGTTTGGCGTTCTTTGGGCAGGGGAAATTTTTTATTGTCTCTATCTTATTGGGGTTTGGTTTTACCCCTTCCTGGGTTACTATGTGACCGAGAAAGTCAATTTCTTTATGTAGAAAATTGCATTTCGATGTCTGCATCTTTAGATTTGCTTTTTCAAGTTCGCGGAATACGGACTTTAGGTTTGCGATATGTTCTGTGAGCGAGGGGGAGAAAACTATAATGTCGTCCAGATATACTAGGCAGATACTACCTATAAGGGGGCCTAGTACGTTGTCCATCACTCTTTGGAATGTGGCCGGTGCATTCTTCAGACCGAAGGGCATTCTCGTAAATTCGTAATGTCCCCCGTCTACCGAAAATGCAGTTTTGCAAGTGTCTTTGGGGTCCATTTCGATTTGGTGGAACCCGCTAGATAAGTCGAGTGTGGAAAAATACTTGGTTCTGCCTAGTTTGTCCAAAATATCAGTGATATTTGGGATTGGATATTTATCTGAAATGGTTTTATCGTTTAGTTTTCTGAAGTCTATCACTAGTCTCCATTTTTGTTTCTCGCTCATGTCGGGTTTTTTGGGGACTACCCAAAATGGGGCACTCCAAGGGGAGTGGCTGTTCTTGATGATCTGTTGGTCTAGCATTTGAGTTATCTGCTTCTGTATCTCATGTTTAAGAGCGAAGGGGTATCTATATGATTTTTTATATACTGGTATTGAGTCTGTTGTTAGAATATTGTGTTTAACAACATTCGTGAATGATAAGGGTTTCTCATCGTTATGTAAAAGATTTGGGAATGATTTTAGTAACTTGATAAGGTGTTGTCGTTCCTCTGGGTTGAGGTGGTCTATCGGGACTTCTAATTGTTCGTCTTTTTTGCTGTCTTCAGGTTTATTTTTTAGTGACCGGGACGTGTAGTAGTCTTCTTCGTTAAAGTGTTCGATCTCTAATGGTTGTTCCAAGAGAAGGGTTTGTTGTTCGTCGGATTCGTTTGATACCTCAAGTAGGCTAGTTTCGCCATATGCGGTATAAAGTCCTCCGGTAATGGTTAGGTTGTCGTTAATTCTGACCGTGTGGCAGAAGAAGTCCCCTTCGGGGATGTTTACGGGGAGCGGCACTCTTTTTTGTGAGAGGGGGGGGTATTGCATGTGCCTCGAACGTTGGGTTTGTTTGTGTCGCAATTTTTATTGTTGCGAAGGCGGTTTCAAACGAAAGGTTAGCGATATTAATTCGTACTTTGAAGCGAGTTAGGAAGTCTATTCCCAATAGCCCATTGAAGTACGGGTGGATCTTAAAAAGCAGGAAATGGAATGTTCCTGGCTGGTTAAGTTCTTTAAAAATAGGGAGGCTAACACCTTGACTGACGGCGAAGGTGTTAAGCGCCGTCCGTATTGTTGCATCGTTCTCTAATTTGCTTTTATTACTGTTCGGGACTAATATGGGGTCTATGAATGAGTAAGATGAGCCGGTTAATGGGGGATTGTAATTCAAGGAATGGTAGGGAAATTCCGTGGGTTTGTTTGGTTAAGTTGCCGACTGGTGGGTCGACGCTCCTTGTTGAAAATTCTGATCATCTTCTACATTGCAGAGGTATGGGGTCTGATTCATGTTTCGGTCGTTGTTGAACGGATTCCGAGAGGAATTTGGGGAAGGGGTATTGTTAGCATTGTTGCTATTACTACCCCTGTTATTGGAGTTGTTACGGTTGAGGTTATCATTATTGTTCCGATGAAAATTGCCGTTGTTGTTTCGATTGAAACTAGTGTTACGGAATTCGTAATCGTTGTTTCGGTTATAGGTATTACCGTTACGGAAGTTGTTTCCGTGATTACAGTAAGGGTTATTGTTGTTGTAGTTATTACGGTGATCGTGATCGTTTCTACGATAGTTATTATCATTCCTGTAGTTTGTTTGATAATCATTATCCCTGGATCCTTGATAGTGTGGGTTAAAGTTTCTTGGGTAAGGCCTGTTTTGATCACAGTGTAATGTTGATATGCTTTTTCGAGACTCATGGGGCGGTGTGCCCTGACAGTGGAGCGAAGTGGTTCTTTGAGTCCGACAAGGAAAGCGTTTAGACAAATTTCGTCGTAAAGTTGGTTCGAATTGTCCGCTTGGGTAGGGTCGTTTATGACCGACAGGGACTGGAGTTGCTCTCTTAATCGAGCAATTCCGAAATATAGTTGTCCCACTGTAGACTCTTGCGGGAATGTTTGTATCTCCCTTATGAGCATAGCTACGCTTTTCCTTGGTGCGTATATTTTTCTAAGATTATTCTTTATGTTGTCCCATTCCAGCTTAGCTCCTGATAATGTAAGTGCCTTATTGGCTTTCACTTGAATTTTGTTCCTGATTGCTCTTAAGAGTAATACGCCGTAGGGTGTTTGGTCTGCACCCCGAATCAGCATAAATATCTCCTCGACGCTTTCGATAAAGCTTTCTAAGTTCCCTGGTGGTCTGTTGTACGTGGGTAATTGGTTGATAAAGGCGAAAAGGTCAGTAGGTTTTAGGTTTTTGGATAGGCTGGTCATGGTGCTAACCGTAGGGCTAAGTGGTCTACCGGAGTCGGCAGAGGTTTCCATGTTTATAATCGGACTCGGACTTACTAATATTTCTTCTTCCCTAATCTCATGGAGGCTACCGCCACTCCTAAGTCCTAGTCTATTCTATATTTGATACTCTTATTTGTACGTATGTATGCTTATTTCTATATTTTATATTCTTAGTTGTATGTAAATATGTATGTAGTAGATGTATATATGTAGGTTTTTTTTTTTTTTTTTTTTTTGTTGTTCTCTTTTTGTTGTTGTTTTCTTATTCTTTAATTAATGTGTATTTGTACTTAATTTTCTTTAGGTGTTTTCCTGTGGTTATGTGTAGAGGTGTTGTTATTTTTTGTTGTACCCTTTTGGTTTTAGTTTTTTGTTTATATCTCTTCTATGGTGTCCCTGCTGATTAGCTGTAATATTTATGTGTTTAGTATTTTGTGTGTGTGTGTATAAATTTGAATTGTTTCGTAAGTAAATATGTGGAACTATATTTGTGCACCCTGTACTTTAATGCATATGTCTTTTATTTCTACAGTTTTGTATTGTCGCAACCGCATTTGTGCCATGTAAGCGTTTTTTTTTGTTTGTTCTGGTTTGGCTGTACTTTCGACGATTAAAAGAGTATCATGTGGCGTTTATGTGTTCATGTATTTTGGTAGAAAGTTGTTGTAAAGATTTTCTTGTTGCTGTATATATATATGTATTTTTTTGTTAAATACGCTTGTAACCATGGGGTGTACTTTATTAGCGATTGATGATCCCATCCCCTGTTGGCTACGCGTAAATTATAAATGTGTCAAAAAAATTTGTATTGTTGTTCTTTTGTTTAAGTATACATATATATAATTTTTTTTTTTTTTTTTAATTTTTTTAACTTGGGTCTTGTACTATTGCAGTCATGGACGTGTGTGCACTTTACCAGCGATTGGTGCTCTCACACTTTTATGTCGCCATGCATGCTTTTAGTTGTACGTAGGTGTTTTCTGTTTTAATTATTTTCTGTAACCGGTGCTTATAGTGGCCGTGCATGCACTTTATCAGCAATTGATGTCTTTCACATATTCGTTATTCCGCAGGGTGCACTTTTCCACAGATTTACCTACCTCTTACAGTGTGGTGAGAACGACCAGCGTAGTGGGCATCATATCCCGCTAGTTCTTTTCCCGGCTGCGCCAGTTATGTGTAGAGGAGGTTATCGGTATGGTCCAGTGTCCCTCTCGGAATTACTCCAGTGATATCTTCGGATTTGCTTGGTATTTTTATTCCCAAATAAATGATTCCAACTAGTCTTCTTGGTTCTTTAAACTGAACTGCCTCGTTTATTCTGTAGCTGACAATTATATATGTTTCTTAGTTGACTAAGAATGCAGCATAAGCATTCTGTACATTTGTATATATGAAGTTATGTGACTGCAATTGAATTCGTTCCAAATAGTCGTGGGGTCTTCTGCGGAGAGGGGGCTGACGTTAGCTGGTACGAGGAGTGGTTGACCGGTAACTAGGTGGGTGACCGATGGGTAATCGGTAACTCCCGCGATACTATCTTAAGTTTTTCATTTTCATTCATTTAACCTAGCATCTAGTTAGTAGATACGTAAGCCAAGAAGGAAAACTGAATTTTTAGCGAAGTAAGAGGAAAAAGGGATGGGGATGTAGTAAACATATAAGATTACTTTAGTCTAATAAACATGAACTTTATAACGAGATAAAAGAAAAATAATTCGCCTCGCTTGATTCGCCACCGCCTTGCCGCTGAACCACCCCCAACTTTTGCGTTCTCGGGGATCTTGAGGATTCCGATAAAATCTGTTCTGAGGGGACTATGTTAGGCCTTCGCAGTTCGAGAGGCCGTGCACGCATTCTCTGATAGAATTTATGATCTTCGAGGTGAGCATCAGGGAGAGAGAGGGGGCCCTATATGACCCACCCATTAGCCGACGAGACCTAGCTGGCAACTGCGTGCAACCCCCTTTTCTCACCCGATAGTCCAGAGATGCCACCTCACCAGGTTGACTGTTCGTTACATTTATTATTTGCTTTTTTGAGCACATAAAATAAATGTTTGTTCGCTTTCAATCGCCTTATGCTCTTTTTGCAAACCATTTTCATCTGAATAGCAAATTGAATATAATGGATTAAAAATCTCTTTTCTAAATCTTAAAGGATCATTTACTCCTTGCGTAAGATCAATAAGTAAATAACCATGAGGTTCATTTGTGACTTCTTTATATATACTAAAAAGTTCTTTAGGGTTTTCAGGATATATCTGTCTAGCTAAACATTGAAATTGTAATTTATCTCTAGGATTTTTAAATGCCACAATGTATTTTGTATGTAGTGATATGTCTCGGGTGTGAGAAGATTTATGAAATATATTTTGTGTTACAACAATTACAGATAAATTTCGATAATGAGATCCTTCGGTAAAAAGTTCACATACTTTTTTATTAAATGCTCCCATTATCAAATCATCTAATACCAAAAGTATAGGTTCATTAGTTTCATTTTTAATGGAGTCAGGTACTTCATGGTAATATTCAATATTGGTAAAATTTGGTTTCGCTTGCTCTTTACCGTAACACCATATTATTCTATCTTCGATTCGTTCGCGAACGTCGGCGAGTGCAGACGTGCTTTCTTTTTGTCTTCTGATCGTGCAACGAAAATTAAACAAAAACTAAGCATAGTGCAGTGCAAGCTATAAACAAAAATACACAGTGGACGAAAAGACGCTTAGTGCGATGAACTTCGTACTTTTTTGTGTAAATAAGAAAAAATAAGAAAATCAAAAACATTAAGCTATGAGTAAATTCGACACTCATACGGTGCTCCAACGTCAGCAAGACGAGCGTCGACTCTCCTTGCTACGTAACAACGCATACCACTCATTTGTGTCAACGCAAGACAACGCGACCGCAAACCCAACAAAAAATAACCAACCGCGATCAATAACCCCAACCCCGAGTAATGAACTCTATCCAACATCCCCCTTCAAAACAACGTTCGGCCGTACAGACAGGTATGGATCGCTACATACAAATAAAACGAAAGCTTAGCCCGCAGAACTCTAGACTTGGTAACTCTGCTAAAATAACTCGAGGCACCTCAAAACAAGCTACAATAGAGAAGCCCATAGAAGCAAACAGATTTGCTATTTTGGCAGATAAATCCGATGATACACCTCCTGAAGTCATCGTAGGGGACAACAAAAAGCCTAAGCCGCCGCCGATTTACATCCGAGAGAAAAGTTCGAATACTCTCGTAAACTCGATACTGAATCTAATAGGACCAGACAATTTCCCCATAATTCCATTAACAAAGGGAAATATTCATGAAACTAAAGTTCAGACTAATACGGAAGCAAACTACAGAATTCTGTCAAAGTATCTAAACGACAATAATAAAAACTTCTACACGTACCAATTAAAAAGCAGTAAGGGCCAGCAAGTAGTACTAAAAGGTATCGAGCCGGAAGTAACACCAGATGAAGTTACAAGAGCACTGATGGAGAAAGGTTTTAATGTAAAAAATGTTAGTAACATTTTAAATAGAGAAAGAAAGCCTCAACCTCTTTTCAAGGTAGAAATTGAACCCGAAACCAAATCCAAGCCTCTGAAAAAAAATGAAGTGCATCCGATCTTTACTCTCCAGTTCCTACTACACCGCAGAATTACGGTAGAGGAGCCGCATAAAAGAAATGGACCGGTGCAGTGTAATAATTGTCAGGAATATGGCCACACAAGGTCTTATTGCACGCTTCGTCCAGTATGCGTTGCTTGTGGAGACTTTCATGAATCTCACAAATGCCCAAAAAATAAAGAGGATCCCAGCAGCAAAAAGTGCGGAAACTGTGGAGGCAACCATACGGCTAACTACAGGGGCTGTCCAGTCTACAAGGAACTGAAAAGTCGTACACACCAAAGAGTGACCACTGCTCCCTCACATACACCACCTATGAAATCTACACGTAATGTCATTCCCCCTTCAGCTGTTAAATCTTTAGCCAATAATGAGGTCACCGAAAAATCCGCAAGCTATGCAACTGCTCTAAAATTGGGTCTTAAAAGTACCGCTCCAACCAATCCAAGATCATCAGTTCCCCCTCATCAACCAGAAGAACCGTCTACGAACAAACTTGAAACAATGATATGTAATCTTCAACAAAGTATGATGGAACTCATGTCATTCATGCAGACAACTATGCAAGAGCTTATGCGAAACCAGAACGTTTTGATTGAGCTGCTTGTTGCTCAAAAACAGACTAAATAATCAATGGCTCCACTCCGTTTAGCACTGTGGAACGCAAACGGCGTCTCACAGCGCAAACTCGAGTTAACTCAGTTCCTTATTAATTACCATATCGATGTAATGCTACTCGCAGAAACTCATCTTACAAATAAATATAATTTTCAAATTCGAGGCTATCTATTCTACAACACGAATCACCCAGACGGGAAAGCTCATGGAGGCACAGGGATTCTGATTAGAAATCGCATCAAGCACTGCTTCCACAATAGCTTCGCCACTAACTTCATGCAAGCTACATCAATAGATGTGCAAACGGATTCCCGATCTTTAAGGCTTGCCGCCGTATACTTTCCTCCTCGGTTCACAATATCAGAATCACAATTCATGGAATATTTCAACTCTCTGAGCAAACAATTTATATCAGCAGGAGACTTCAATGCCAAGCACACGCACTGGGGATCTCGACTTGTGACTCCTAAGGGAAGGCAGTTGTACAATGCAATAATAAAAGCAAGCAACAAGCTAGACTGTGTGTCACCTGGGACACCTACATATTGGCCAACAGATCCTAGAAAACTGCCAGACTTGATAGATTTTGCAGTCACACAAAACATTCCTCGCAACCTGATAAGTGCCAACTCCTTACCAGATCTATCGTCCGATCACTCGCCTGTACTTATTCATCTAAATCTACGTCCAGTTGCGGTAGATAAACCATTCAGACTAACAACGAATAAAACCAATTGGCTTAAGTACAAAAAATATGAGTTGAATCCACGTCTGAATTACGAAGCTGATATCAACTTATCCACAAACACTCTTGAATCCGTCTTGGTCGCAGCAGCTCGCGTATCAACTCCACAAACCCCAAAAACATCGTACAATAATAGATACACGAACGTTGAAATAGAGCAGCTCGTTCTAGCAAAGCGACGCTCACGGCGAGAATGGCAATCCAACAGATCACCAACCGCAAAACAAAGGCTAAAAGACGCTACAGAGAGGCTCTCAGCTGCACTTCGTCATGAAGAAGAAGGGTCGCAAAAACACTACATAGAACAGTTATCCCCAATGAGCTCCAAGTTCCCACTTTGGAGAGCACACTCATCTCTCTGCGCACCAATCGAATCTGCAATGCCAATAAGGACATCCACAGGCAACTGGGCTCGAAGCGACGAAGAAAGAGCCGTCAGATTCGCAGAGCATCTTCAAAATGTATTTCAGCCCAACACATCATCAAACGGGATCTCACTGCCAGCAACATCAGATATCGACACATCAACGTATGAACCTATTGTATTTAGGCCACATGAGTTACTCAAAATCATAAACGAACTCAACCCAAAAAAATCTCCAGGATGCGACCTAATATCACCAAAAATGATTATTGAACTTCCTTTCTGTGCTGTTCGAGCTATTTGCCAGCTCTTCAATGCAATAACGAGACACGGACACTTTCCAGAGAGATGGAAAAAGTCGATAATTATAAAGATACCAAAACCTGGCAAAGACCGCACAATCGCTTCATCATATAGACCAATTAGTTTATTCACGTGTCTATCAAAACTCTTTGAAAAATGCTTCTTGGCACACATTACCCTATATCTCAGAACACACAACAAAATCCCGGTTCATCAATTCTGTTTTTGAGAAAAACACGGAATCATTGAGCAAGTCAACCGCATAACCTCAGAAATCCGAAATACATTCGAACAAAAGGAGTACTGCACTGCGATATTTCTGGACGTATCACAAGCTTTCGACAGGGTATGGTTAGAAGGTCTAATGCACAAAATTATAGAAATGCTCCCAACCAACACACACAAACTTCTAAAGTCATACCTATACAACAGGAAATTCTCATTAATATGTAATTCAGCCATGTCCAATGACTACACAATTAGAGCCGGAGTTCCTCAAGGCAGCGTGCTTGGACCAACACTCTACCTTATCTACACTGCGGACATCCCAACGAGCAGGAATCTAACCACATCCACTTTTGCAGATGACACAGCGATCCTAAGCCGCACGAGATGCCCCAAGCAAGCAACGGCGCAACTTGCTATACATCTGGTGGCAGTGGAGAAATGGCTATCCGACTGGCGAATCAAAAATAACGAACAAAAATGCAAACACGTAACGTTCACTCTTA